TTCCCTCCCCGATCGAGTTGCCCTACGTGCTGCTAACCAATATTATCTGTATCTAGAAGACAGTTCATGCCCTAAGTGCCGCTTGAAGAACGTTTAAAAATTATAAGAACTGCCCCAAGCGTATAAAAATCTGTTTCCCTACACGATCGAGTTGGCCTACGTACCGCTTACAGACCGATAGTAACTATTTAAAATGAAAGTTCATGCCCTAAGTGCCACTTGAAGAACGTTTGAAAGTTATACGAACTGCCCCAAGCGTATAAAATCTGTTTCCCTGCACGATCGAGTTGCCCTACGTGCCGCTTACAGACCGATAGTAACTATTTAAAATGAAAGTTCATGCCCTAAGTGCCACTTGAAGAACGTTTGAAAGTTATACGAACTGCCCCAAGCGTATAAAATCTGTTTCCCTGCACGATCGAGTTGCCCTACGTGCCGCTTACAGACCGATAGTAACTATTTAAAATGAAAATTTATGCCCTAAGTGCCGCTTGAAGACCGTTAAAAAATCATAAGAACTGCCCCATGCGTATAGAAATCTGTTTCCCTGCACGATCGAGTTGCCCTACGTGCGGCTTACAAACCAATAATATCTATATCTAGAAGACAGTTCATGCCTTAAGTGCCGCTTGAAGACCGTTCAAAAATTATAAGAACTGCCCCAAGCGTATAAAATCTGTTTCCCTGCACGATCGAGTTGCCCTACGTGCTGCTTACAAACCAATAATATCTATATCTAGAAGACAGTTCATGCCCTAAGTACCGCTTGAAGAACGTTTAAAAATTATAAGAACTGCCCCAAGCGTATAAAAATCTGTTTCCCTGCACGATCGAGTTGCCCTACGTGCCGCTTACAAACCAATAATATCTATATATAGAAGACAGTTCATGCCCTAAGTGCCGCTTGAAGAACGTTTAAAAATTATAAGAACTGCCCCAAGCGTATAAAATCTGTTTCCCTGCACGATCGAGTTGGCCTACGTACCGCTTACAGACCGATAGTAACTATTTAAAATGAAAGTTTATGCCCTAAGTGCCGCTTGGAGACCGTCTGAAAGTTATAAGAACTGCCCCAAGCGTATAAAATCTGTTTCCCTGCACGATCGAGTTGCCCTGCGTGCCGCTTACAGACCGATAGTAATTATTTAAAATGAAAATTTATGCCCTACGTGCCGCTTACAAACCAATAATATCTATATCTAGAAGACAGTTCATGCCCTAAGTGCCGCTTGAAGACCGTTTAAAAATTATAAGAACTGCCCCAAGCGTACAAAAATCTGTTTCCCTGCCCGATCGAGTTGCCCTACGTGCTGCTTACAAACCAATATTATCTGTATCTAGAAGACAGTTCATGCCCTAAGTGCCGCTTGAAGACCGTTCAAAAATTATAAGAACTGCCCCAAGCGTATAAAATCTGTTTCCCTGCACGATCGAGTTGCCCTATTGCCCTACGTGCCGCTTACAGACCGATAGTAATTATTTAAAATGAAAATTTATGCCCTAAGTGCCGCTTGAAGACCGTTTGAAAGTTATAAGAACTGCCCCAAGCGTATAGAAATCTGTTTCCCTGCACGATCGAGTTGCCCTACGTGCTGCTTACAAACCAATATTATCTGTATCTAGAAGACAGTTCATGCCCTAAGTGCCGCTTAAAGACCGTTCAAAAATTATGAGAACTGCCCCAAGCGTATAAAATCTGTTTCCCTGCACGATCGAGTTGCCCTATTGCCCTACGTGCCGCTTACAGACCGATAGTAATTATTTAAAATGAAAATTTATGCCCTAAGTGCCGCTTGAAGACCGTTTAAAAATTATAAGAACTGCCCCAAGCGTATAAAATCTGTTTCCCTGCACGATCGAGTTGGCCTACGTACCGCTTACAGACCGATAGTAACTATTTAAAATGAAAGTTTATGCCCTAAGTGCCGCTTGGAGACCGTCTGAAAGTTATAAGAACTGCCCCAAGCGTATAAAATCTGTTTCCCTGCACGATCGAGTTGCCCTGCGTGCCGCTTACAGACCGATAGTAATTATTTAAAATGAAAATTTATGCCCTACGTGCCGCTTACAAACCAATAATATCTATATCTAGAAGACAGTTCATGCCCTAAGTGCCGCTTGAAGACCGTTCAAAAATTATGAGAACTGCCCCAAGCGTATAAAATCTGTTTCCCTGCACGATCGAGTTGCCCTATTGCCCTACGTGCCGCTTACAGACCGATAGTAATTATTTAAAATGAAAATTTATGCCCTAAGTGCCGCTTGAAGACCGTTTGAAAGTTATAAGAACTGCCCCAAGCGTATAGAAATCTGTTTCCCTGCACGATCGAGTTGCCCTACGTGCTGCTTACAAACCAATATTATCTGTATCTAGAAGACAGTTCATGCCCTAAGTGCCGCTTAAAGACCGTTCAAAAATTATGAGAACTGCCCCAAGCGTATAAAATCTGTTTCCCTGCACGATCGAGTTGCCCTATTGCCCTACGTGCCGCTTACAGACCGATAGTAATTATTTAAAATGAAAATTTATGCCCTAAGTGCCGCTTGAAGACCGTTTAAAAATTATAAGAACTGCCCCAAGCGTATAAAAATCTGTTTCCCTACACGATCGAGTTGGCCTACGTACCGCTTACAGACCGATGGTAACTATTTAAAATGAAAGTTCATGCCCTAAGTGCCACTTGAAGAACGTTTGAAAATTATAAGAACTGCCCCAAGCGTACAAAAATCTGTTTCCCTCCCCGATCGAGTTGCCCTACGTGCTGCTTACAAACCAATAATATCTATATCTAGAAGACAGTTCATGCCCTAAGTGCCGCTTGAAGACCGTTTAAAAAATATAAGAACTGCCCCAAGCGTACAAAAATCTGTTTCCCTCCCCGATCGAGTTGCCCTACGTGCTGCTTACAAACCAATATTATCTGTATCTAGAAGACAGTTCATGCCCTAAGTGCCGCTTGAAGAACGTTTAAAAATTATAAGAACTGCCCCAAGCGTATAAAAATCTGTTTCCCTACACGATCGAGTTGGCCTACGTACCGCTTACAGACCGATAGTAACTATTTAAAATGAAAGTTCATGCCCTAAGTGCCACTTGAAGAACGTTTGAAAGTTATACGAACTGCCCCAAGCGTATAAAATCTGTTTCCCTGCACGATCGAGTTGCCCTACGTGCCGCTTACAGACCGATAGTAACTATTTAAAATAAAAATTTATGCCCTAAGTGCCGCTTGAAGACCGTTAAAAAATCATAAGAACTGCCCCATGCGTATAGAAATCTGTTTCCCTGCACGATCGAGTTGCCCTACGTGCGGCTTACAAACCAATAATATCTATATCTAGAAGACAGTTCATGCCTTAAGTGCCGCTTGAAGACCGTTCAAAAATTATAAGAACTGCCCCAAGCGTATAAAATCTGTTTCCCTGCACGATCGAGTTGCCCTACGTGCTGCTTGCAAACCAATAATATCTATATCTAGAAGACAGTTCATGCCCTAAGTACCGCTTGAAGAACGTTTAAAAATTATAAGAACTGCCCCAAGCGTATAAAAATCTGTTTCCCTGCACGATCGAGTTGCCCTACGTGCCGCTTACAAACCAATAATATCTATATATAGAAGACAGTTCATGCCCTAAGTGCCGCTTGAAGAACGTTTAAAAATTATAAGAACTGCCCCAAGCGTATGAAAATCTGTTTCCCTGCACGATCGAGTTGCCCTACGTACCGCTTACAGACCGATAGTAACTATTTAAAATGAAAGATGCCCTAAGTGCCGCTTGAAGACCTTTTGAAAGTTATAAGAACTGCCCCAAGCGTATAAAATCTGTTTCCCTGCACGATCGAGTTGCCCTACGTGCTGCTTACAAACCATTGAATAATAAATTATGTTGTACAAATATAATGATAATAATGATCTAAATCAAATTGTAAACTAACCTGCACCAACAATGAAAGTTGAGTTGCTTTTGTAAGTGTCAAAGCGCTTCGAACTATACGAAAATTAGCTTGCGTAATGATTCGCTTTTGGGTTATGCCATCCATATGCCATTTGATCAACATCGTCTAAGAACAGGCCTCGGAATTCAAAGATCACGGCGGCGATAAACAACCCGCCAGACGGATGTTTATCTGTTCAAAGAAAGGGCGGCGCGGAGGGGGGACCCCCGCTTCGGCGGCGCAGAGGGGGGACCCCGGCCAGACGAATGTTTATCTCTGCTGTCTGCTGTCTCCGCTAGCTCCAGCAGCCCCCACCCGGCGGCGTGGAGGGGGGACCCCCGCTTCGGCGGCGCAGAGGGGGGACCCCCGCCAGGCGAAAGTGCATCACTGCTGTCTGCTGTCTCCGCGAGCTCCAGCACAGCGCCCGCTGCCTTTTTTTTTTTTGCACTTTCCCTTATCATTAGATATACTGCAAGGATCAACATCGTCTAAGAACAGGCCTCGGAATTCAAAGATCACGGCGGCGATAAACAACCCGCCAGACGGATGTTTATCTGTTCAAAGAAAGGGCGGCGCGGAGGGGGGACCCCCGCTTCGGCGGCGCAGAGGGGGGACCCCGGCCAGACGAATGTTTATCTCTGCTGTCTGCTGTCTCCGCTAGCTCCAGCAGCCCCCACCCGGCGGCGTGGAGGGGGGACCCCCGCTTCGGCGGCGCAGAGGGGGGACCCCCGCCAGGCGAAAGTGCATCACTGCTGTCTGCTGTCTCCGCGAGCTCCAGCACAGCGCCCGCTGCCTTTTTTTTTTTTGCACTTTCCCTTATCATTAGATATACTGCAAGGATGGCTGCATGAATTTCATGCCTTGCAAGCAATTACTGCGCTGGCAATCTTTAGCTGACACAGTGTTTTTCGGTTCTTTCTTTACGTCATGATCAGAAACAGCGCTACAGCAATCGAGGTGGTCTATACCCCAATAGCACTGGTAATCATACAACAGACAAGTGACTACAAAAAGCTTCTACTTACCTCGTTTTTAGGTTTTACTGCATTTCTGTAATACGTACCTGTGATCGTTGTCGGTGATGTCATTGTTGTTGTCTCAGACGTGATTGCTGTCGACATCGTTGTTGTGATGGGCATCGGTGTAGCCGTAGGTTCTACCGTTATGATTTATTTTTATTATAATGGTCATTTCGAACTTCATGCCTAATTATAGGACAATTTCTCAGTGTGTTGTTACAAAATCAAGAAAAAAAAGTTTTCTTTTTATCTAAGCTAAGCATGGTAGCAAATAATCACACACACCTGGGGTTATTGTAGTTGTTGATGTGGGAGTTGATGTTGATATTGGTAGTGCGGTGCTCGATGTCGGCGGCGCTGTAGTCGTGACAGTTTTGCCTGAATTTGGTTTTCATTAGGTGTTTGGAGGTTCTTCCTTTGGTTTTTTATGGGTACGCTCAACCAATATTTATGCTAATAACAGGTTTTCTCACATTTCATGCACGTTTTTCTACACTCTTTTCTAAAATGCTGATTTTTGGTGCGAAACGAACTTTTCGGTAAGCACAAAAGATTGTAATTCAAACAAGAATCAATAACTTGTGCCCTAAACTCATGGTGTGGTATCGCAAAAATAATAAAGTTCGCGCTTTATGATAAATGTTCAAGCGTGATATTTCATTTAAAAACGGCGTTTCGAATTCTGCGATGTTGAGTTTTGTGCTAGAATAAAACGGAGAGCCAGTAGTCCAATTAAATGTGAACATCTCTCATAGAGGAACCCATAGTTGGCAGTTTTCATTCTTGGATGGAAATGCAAACACAAAAAATTTCAAGAAGTGCCTTACACTAACATTTCCCTTATCCTTGTAGCTTTTCTCAAAACAGAAACGCAGAAATCAGATCTAGTTTCTACTCAAAACACTGTGACGCATTTTGGAGCGTCAAACGTGCTTCTGCTGACAACGTAAAGTAATGGAGGAATTCTTGCGTAAAATGAAATTCTTCACAATTTTTTAGCGTTAACTCGAATCCTGCCACAGTAATGTATGTTTGCTGCGTCAAGAATGTTACGCTATTGTTTTGGAGCTGGCTAGCGGCCCCCCGCGAATTCCTAGATCCGGAATCGAAAATTTTGAATTTTAGCAGCTTCGTTCTCGGTGATAAATTCGTAGACCGTTACGCTTGAATAACTATAGTATTACGAAGCGCAAACCTTCTACTATTTTGGCGAGAACGGAATTCAAATCTATGTAGTATTTGAAAAGTTATTAATTTTCGTTTGAGTTAGGCAAGAGCTTTCGCGCCAACCTATTTCTTTCAAAAACTTTTTCCGATGCTTGAAAGCCCGATTCTCCTAACTTTCATCCTCTGCTTCCGTTTTCGCAAATGCTTGTTCAACCCGAAATTCGATAACTTTGAAGATAAGTGACTAAAACTCAAAACTTTTCCACACTTTTTTTTTACCCTCGGTCCCGCTTATGCAGGGTCTGCTTTCCTTGTCAGTTGTCTCCATATCTTCCTATTTGAGGCAAGGTCTTCATCTATTCCAAATTCTCGCAAGTCGGCCTTGATCCTATCACCCACCTCATCTTGGGTCTACCTCTGGGTCTCTTGCCTGGTGCTTCCACCGCCGAGGGCCTCGTAATGTGGCTTTCCTCCCTTCTGCGTACATGGCCGTACCATCGTAGTCTCTTTTCCTGCATTTTCTGGGCAATTGGGGCTACTTTCATTCGGGCTCATATAGTGTTAGTGTCATTGCAGATGGGATCTTTCAGTGTGACACCTAAGGTCCATCGTAGCATCCTTGTTTCCATGACACCGAGCTTGCGCTCCTCATATCGCGTACATGGCTAGCACTCACTACCATAGAGGGCCGCTGGACGGATGACGGTCCGGTACAGTTGGGACTTGAGCTGTACTGGCATTCGTCTGTCGCAGAGAACTCCTGTTAAGGCTCTCCATTTCATCCACGCTGTGTTTATCCTGCCTGCGATTTCCCCTTGCAAGCCTCCCTCTGCTGAGATGTGACTGCCTAGGTACTTGGATGACGTTGCCTTCTTTAGCTCTTCATCATCGATACATATGGTTCCTGGAGTCTGTTTCCCCGCTTCCATATACTCCTTCTTGGTGTTGAGCTTCAGCCCATACAACTCTAACCTGTCTTTCCATTTCTGTACCTCGTCTTGCAACTCCTTCCTGGCTTCCTAGCAAGACCACATCATCTGCGTAGAGAAGTGTCCAAGGAGGTGCACGTCTGAGTGGTTCCATTATGGCGTTCATTACAGTGATGAAGAGCAAAGGAGAAATTTTCCTCTTCTTCAGTGCTCTCTTAGAATTTTGCTTATTAATTTTTTTCGAGTTTTGGAAGAACCGCATGGCCTGTTATTGCAACAAACACTGCAAAATCTTTGAAACAATGAGGCTTCGACACTCAATTACTACTATTACCACCCTTACAAACTGGATGAGCGATTTCCGCTTCAAATTATGAAGATTTTCAAACTTAGGATAGTCACATCGTCAATTAAAAAATACTGCGATTCTCCGCAAATTTTGCGTGGATGGCCAAGAAAAGATCTGTTAGAAAAGTGAGAAGGAGTTATAATATATTAGGGTACATTAGGGTACTTGAACTGTTTACCACTCCATGCTCCACGAGGCTAAAATAGACCATGTATGGAATTTGGTTATGTCAGAAAATGAGCTTCGGGAAATTTGAAAGATTAGTCATAGAACTGTAAAGAAATCGCATCAGTTGGCAAAAGGCTCACGCTCCTGATGGCTACTAGAACTTCTCCAAAAGTCTCAGGAAAAATTTTGAAATTCAGCGAAAGGTGGCTGCTGAAAAAAACGGTTGTAAATTCCAGCGATTATCTTAGCACTGTCTCAACAAACTACACTGAGAATCCAGCAGCTAGAAAGATGAAGAGAATCTGTTTTGGATGCACTTCGAAGTGTTTGTTCATCTTTCTTCTATCGTATTTGCTGGTCGATTGAGAATAAAACTGACAAAACTTTTGCACCGACCAAATAGATGAAAAATGGGATCTGTTTCATAAAATTTGACTAAGAATAATGGAATTTTGTGCAACACAATTCTCAGTAAGGCAAGATTTTCGGGGATTCTAGGTTAAGAGATTTTGACTCAAACTATATCGCTGAGGCTCATCTATGCTGCGTAAAAAACATAGGCGAAAAAACTTTGTACATCACGGACTAGTGCAACTGATGATAGAAAAATGGCAGCATCCATTGTTTTTTTTTGAAAGAGGAATTCTAGAAAAATTCGAAAAAGGCACTTCGTGGCATCTTCCTTAGTGCTGAAAATGTTGGGTAATTTCAACTATTCTGCAGTATTTTTCCCGCAGAACAATTCTGTAAAATTTAACTTTACTACTTTGCTCAACCTATCATTGGCTACGTGACGTGCAAAGTGTGCACTTCCGCACAAACGCATAGCTCTCAAGTGAATCAGCTGGAATTCAGCAAACGTGCATTAATCATATGACAAGCTAATATTTGCTATCAGATCTGCTCGAACAACCCTTATGAACAGTATTGAGGGTCACTTCGTGGCATAAATGATCACTAGCAATCTGCTTTTTCTTCTTTCTCAGCCTCTTCTATTTAAGCAGTATCATGACAGCGGCATGGAAAAAAAGCTCCTGTGTAGTTCTGCTAAATCGCGGAAACATTCGAAAAATGGATGAGAATCGAGGGAAGAAGTGATTTTGGGGCCTAAACAGAACTGGCTGGCAGCGCAAATGGTGCACTTGAATGAGATATTCATTTCTAAACCAGACCTCTCACCTTGCTCGCTTGCATGCTTTTGTTTGTGGGCCCACCGCCCTCGCGCAAAATTTGGATACTACCTTTAATCAGACTTTAGACACACTGATAGTACACTTTTAATACTGTTCATTCCACGAATTGGCATTTGCGATGACTAATCGACCTCAAAACTACTTATGCAGTTTTGAGTGTTGAGAATAAACAAAATGTCCTGTCAAATCTTAACCTTTACCGTGCCTGATTTCAAAATACTTTGCTTTACTGCAAAAAATCATATAGCTGTTCAACATGCACTAATACCGTTGAAGGAAGTGTGATCTTTGGTAGAATTTCTAGCGGGCCAATTGGAGAAGGGAAAGTTTTTGTGAGCGAGTTGTGTTGTACTATGTGTTGTTCTATTTCTAGCTACAAACTAGGGAATTGCTGTTTGTGATTTGCGGCACCTCGCAGAAGTTTGATTTTTCATGAAAGGTTGCAAGTGCCTTCGGCAAGCATTTGGAAATCCTATTAATTATCGCTGAACATCCACCCAGCTGATTAACTTGGCCAAATGATTGGAAATAGGAAGTAGGTTTGTTGAACGAGATTTGAATATTGGGGTCTATGAAATGGAAAGATGCAGTAATTAGTTGGCAAAAATCCCATGTTGGATTACTAAGGCCCGTATGCACGTACATCCCCGCGGGGAGGGGATGTGCGCTTAACCATTGAAATGATCCCCGCTGGGGATCCCTTCCCCTCCCCGCGCGAACCCCCGTATGCACAAAGACAATATCGGACAAGGGATCCCCTGTGGGGAGGGGAAGTGAACCCTCTTATGCACAAGAGGGGATCAAGCGGGGAAATCACCTTGCTTTCAAATTTTCTATGAAAAAATCTTTCTTATTTCATATTTTGACTGCAACTCATCTTCATCTCCTCACTTTCATTAATTTAGTGTTGCGGAATGCGCGTATGCAGTGACTGCGCTCGGGGCACCAAAAATGATTTTTTCTACTCCCATTATGTTCATGCTTTCTTGGATGCTGCCCACTTTCGCTCATGCTGCTCCATTTCAGCGTATAAATGTTGAACTGTAGAAGTTGATGTGTCTCTGCAAGGGAATGGGTAGAAGACGTTAGGCTGCCGAAAAGGGGGGGGGGGTGCCGCGCGGACGCTCAAAGCAGTATTCTAACACATAATAGAAGCTGCAAATTGTGCCAGCTCTTCATAAACGCTGTAGCTATCAGCTGCATATCGTCCTTTATCCCAGGGGAATGATCCCCAGCAGCCATCCCTGCTATGCACAAGGGGAACGCTGGGGAGGGGATCACTCCCCAGGGGATTTCTACTCAGAAATAGGCAAATATGCTACTTTCTAGATTTTTTCAAGGCAGCTTATGTTAAAATAACAAGATAATGGCAATATGTCATGAAATATGAAAGTTACAATGTGTTTACTCAGCCTATATAGTTAAAACTATTATGTTATATGAAAAATGCGCAAATTTCCTGAATGATCAAGAACTCCTACAAATAATCGCAATTGGCAGCTATTGTTGCTCGGATTTCTTCTCAAGAGGCGAATATAGAAAAGAAAGACAAATTGCAAGCCACAGGTCGCTGAGAGAAGAACCCGGCTTTCAAAGAAAATCCTCCATCAAAATGAACGAAATGCTTGGTAATGACTGAGCAGAACCAGAATATCCGCGTCTCTGGCATGATCTACACCATCGAACCCCTACTTCGTTGCAGGGGATGTCGATCCCCTCCCCCGCGTTACTGAGTTGAATTCGCGCATACGGGGTTCGAGTGGGGGAAGGGAAGGGATCCCCTCCCCCATTCGAACCCCGTATGCACTGGGGTTCGCTCGATCAATACCTCTGAAACCATTCACACCATCCCCGCTTAGGTGCAGGGGAGGGGATCGCTCCCCTCCCCTCTGTCATGGCGGGCTTCGGCGGAGGGGATCGTTCCCCTGGGGATCCAGCTCCCCTCCCCTCCCCAGCGGGGACGTACGTGCATACGGGCCTAAGAGAGCGTACTTGTCACTCGAGCGCTCTGTCGTACTAGACAAGTCAACGCAGATTTTCAAACATTCTTCCTTAGTTTGGAAACAGCATCGGGCTAATGCATCAACATCAAGCTGCTGGATTGTAGCCATATCCGGAAAGCAATGCTTAGATGTTCTGAGCATTGCTAAAGACTATCTGACAAAAACATAACACCAAGCCAAGTCGCTGGTTTCCTCCTAGTACTTCTTTTATCCCCAGGAGACCACAAATTATTGTTGTTACTTGTAAAATTCAGGCTATATTAAAGGCAGTGTCCGGGCAAAAGCTCGATTTTGAGATTTTGTGCTTACCCGGGCCTATTCGCTATGCTGAATCCGAAAATCTATATTGGGGAGCGCGAAAACGACGAAAAGGGGCTCTAACTCTGGAGGGAAATCAGCAAGTGGGCGGGGTCTTCCCCACTGTGAATTCACGCTTCCAGCTTCGAGGGCGATCTTTTTGATTCCGGTTTCAAGTCATTCGTTTGCACTTGATCGATAGTGATGTCAGGGCAGCTAACGGATTCGAGAAAGTTGCTCTGAAAGCTGGAAGCGTGAAATCACAGTGGGGAAGACCCCGCCCACTTGCTGATTTCCCTCCAGTGTTAGAGCCCTTTTTCGTCGTTTTCGCGCTCTCCAATGTGGATTTTCGGATTCAGCATAGCGAATAGGCCCGGGTAAGCACAAAATCTCAAAATCGAGTTCTTGCCCGGACACTGCCTTTAATGCGCGAGATGCACTGCTGTAATTGTTATGAGGAACCACATCAAAGTATGTCATCAAGCTTGATTGAACTTTGGTAATGGTAGTTTGTCTCTCTACTTCCCATTATATAATAACATTGGCAAATTTGCCTTTGCTTCATATAACAATGTTATGACCACCTGTGCCGTTCTCACGTTCACGAAATCATTTTTTGCACAGCTGTGTCACTTACCGAATGAAGATAATTGAATAAATCAGATTTTTTCCTTTGCAACTATGCAGTTCCATGTAAACATCGAAACTGAGGGCAAGCATGCCGAATACGATTTGCATCGTACACTGGTTTCTGTCAGTGTTGTTATACTGCTGTTTATTTTAGGCAACTGCGAACTCTAACAACAACACAAAATGCGGTGTATTCTCGTTATCATGAGGACGTGGCTATAGCTTTTGTTTCAAAAATACTGCATGTCGTAAATTATTGGAGTTTGCTGTGAGATGGAGGTTTGCAGATTTTTTTTTAGCATTTATAGAGGCTAGTTACAATTACTGTGCTAGCAAATATAAACTGCTCAGATCCAGTCACGTATGCCTATTTCCTCTATAATAATGTGAAAAACAGCTCTTTAGTCGAGTGATTGAAAGCGGAATGAAAGCTTAATTGCACAAATTGACAAGACGCAATGCTTGTTGCTGAAAATTGGCACGAAAAGTTCACGTATAAAGTGCTTGATATAACCTTTAGTGTTAGCAATTTGATCCTTATTGACCAATCGATACGAAAGGATTGTGTCAAAATGCTTCGTTTAGCCTTTATCCCATTTTTGTCACACCTACCTGTGGTTGTTGTTGGTGATGACGTAGTTGTTGTGGACGTTGCTGTTGTTGCTGCTGTTGCAGATGTTGTGGTAGTCGTAGGCTCTACTGTTCGTAAAATGTTATTGGAATCTTTTAACTAGTGCCTGTCATTGAACAATTTTTTGTGTTTGCTCTTGCAAACGTTAGTGAGAAAAGAGCTCTCCACTTTACTTAAGCTACTCATGGTATTCAAGGTAGCTACCCATTGATTTCGAACTCGTTGGTGTGGGGGTTGATGTCGATGTTGTTAATTCTGCGCTCGTCGTAGCCGGTATAGTGGTCGTAATCGGTTTGCCTGAATTCACTTTTTCAAATGTAGTCAAAGAAATCGCAGCGGCATGAAAAAAGCTTTCGATATAATACCCGGGGGGGGGGGCTTGGCTAAGGTTACCATGATAGCTGCGATGCATGACCGTCCTATCTCATGTTTCTGTTTTTTAGAAGGTTTTTTTTTCAAAGTATGACAACAAAGGTTGATTGATTAATTATGAAAACCATTTAAAGACTTTCTACTTTTACATCGACTTTTAGATGGCATTTCTTCTTACATCTTACAGCTTTTCCTTCGGATAGTTTGACTTATTTCTTACTTTCGATTGTCTGGGTTCGCTTAATGCATGCTTCAGAACATTCCTGTTCATTTGTAAAACAGCCACCAGTCTTATGCCATTGGCATGCATCTATTGTCGCATTATAGCGGTATCTAAATTTGGGAAAATTAAAATCAACAAGCGATCATTTAACTCAGCCCTTACCCCCAATGTGCTGAGCAGCCTCCTTTCAACCCAGACTGGATGCAAAGATCTTCTGAAATTAACAGAGGTTGGGAATTTTGCAGTAATGGATCTTAGATAATGGAATCTGACGGCACAAGTTCATGTTTTTTTTGTAATATTCGTTTCGACCAGTGGAATCAATGATTGCCTTTCAGAATGCCTTGATACGGTCCCATATTTACATGGTGGCGTCCCTACCCTTCTTTGTAAGCTCGCTATTCCCGTCACTGCTATTGTTGTAGATGGGAATTAGGCAGAAATGATGCTTCTTTATAGCAAGGTTAAAAAAACTGGAAATGTTTTGTGCGGATTGACCCATATTGTTCTCACCCGATCGATTTCTTGGAGAGCACGTATTCCAGCAGTCATCTATGGTCATGAAATTATTATCGTTTCCACCGCATCCACCGTAGATGAAAGTGAGACATTCGTCAGCCGCTTTGTTGTAATAATATCTCAATCAAACTTGTAATTTTCTTTGCTATGAGGGGAGGCGAAAATTTACCGTAAACGATGATCATCACACCAAAACCCTTCGTCCATAGGTTGCAAGCATAGATCTGAAACTCATTTCCAACATTTATACTTACAAAATGCAAAAAATTCAACTCATAAGCGGCCGTCATGCAAAGATAGAATGTCGTAGCTAATACGTATGGTAGCTTCTAGTTGATGCAGATGTTGATTCTCAAACGCCAGTATTGCCAAGCTATTGAATATGAGTGAAATTAGCTTAGCTTTCTTTCATAAGTCATTTAGGTCTGTATGGTCTAATTCACAGTTTTTTGACTTGTGCATAATTCCTGTTAATGTTGCCATTATCAGACAACGCTTATTGCTTAGCAGAAAATAGTCAGAACTAAACCCAGCCAGTCCAAACAAGTTATGTATCAACAGACTCGTTGAAAGCTGATCTCAAATATACATACGTTTATTATCTCCCGAACGACGTGGAAGGTGTACGAGCGTTTGCGTGCTTGGATCTGTTAGGTATTCTATAGTGCATGTTCCACGAAAACGTTTTAAATACAATTGTCTAGATTTCACTAATGTACTTCTTCCTTGTAATTAGATTACTAATAATTACTGTAATTGCCGCCCTCAAGCTGCATTGCAACGAATTATATCCGTTAGAACTCGAATGAATTCTCATATCTAAGCGCCATAACTCCTTCTATATAGTCGTTCGGATAAAGATATGTTTGGAACCAGCGTTTCAAGGCGAATCCGATGTTTTATAGTTAAGATGCCTGGATTAAGTCCTAACAATTTCCTGCTCATCACAGAAGTTGCTCATAGTTGTTTTTTGAAGCATTTGACAATTTTTAAAAATCAAACCACGCGTAGAAAGACACTGGTATCCTCTTTAACTCTGGTTGATGGTATGTTCATGAGAGACTGATAATCAACGCACGTCTATGAATACCGACTGCGTATTTTATGCCCATACCTGCTGATGTCGTTGCTGGTTCTGTTGTGGGCGTGATGGACGAAGATGTGGAGGTTATTGGAGATGAAATGAATGTTGATGATGTTCTAGTCGTTGTTGATGAAGGAGTAGCGATGGGTTCTAAATGCGGAACTGGCTGAAGAGATAAAAACAGAATTGCAACCAAATTTCCAAGACTTTCTTCGACTTTTGAGCGACATCAACTTGTAGGCATGTGTTGCTTATGTGCTGTTTATCGCTGTGATACTTCATATGTTTGTGTGTATGAAACCTACGTTAAAGTTATTGTTATCGTAAGTGTAAAGACGGAAGATGTTATGTTTGATGCATGAAATCCCGCATTTTTAGATGATTTCTTTGTTATGATGCTACCTGTCTTTGTTGATGCTCGTGTAGTCGCTAAGTCAGCGCAGATTTTCAGACATTCCTGTTCAGTAATGAAACAACCACTGCGGCCAACATATATGCAGGTCCCAGTGACTGGATTGTAACCGTAACCGGATGCTGAGGATGTTGCAGCGGAAAAAGACGGCTATACCCGGATGACTCTGAATACCCTCCTAGAGCTCCTTTCACCCCTGGAGGACGACAAACGATTGTTATATCCATAAAGACGATGATATACGTATTGAATTACCCTGTTGTGCAAAGTTTTTCTGAACTCTGAGGTTTCGCAGCTTTATTGACAGATTGCCCTTAAAATGTGACGCATTTGATTTGTTCTACTTCTCAAAGGCCTTATCTTGATTTGTCTCTGAATTTCATTTCTTTTTTGCTAATTTTAATGTGTCAGTTTCTAGCCACAAGATGCCCATAATTCCTTTGTGATTGACGTCCCATTCGTTCACTGTGACGTCACGGTGACGTCACAAGCAGGCGAATGGGACCCCTCTCCGGGATCTCTGCAAATCTCTGCTCCGGATGTGCGCCAGATTTGGGAGAGCCCCGGACCACCAAAATGGATGAAATGGCAGGGCTCCGGAGCGCTCCAGAGCGCGAAGTGGCAGACTCGCGCCATAAGCCCGCCGGAGGCGTCCCTTCGACTGTCTGAGATGTCTCTGGGTTCCTTTGAAAAAATGTTATTTGCTCGCTGATACTCTGAGGGCTTGGTCATATAGTACAAGTTGTTCAATATTCCTGTCTCAAAGTCAATAAAGACAAGTTGTGACGTTTTAGGTTGGTCAGTCTTAATAAGGAGGTTGTCCACTTCAAAACCGCAGTTGTGCTTGGCTTACCTTGCGCGCACAAGAATTACAAGCTTTCAGACTTGCCTTTGGCCACACTTTTCCGCAGTTTTCGATTTTGCGAGGATCTTCATGCCTCAGTGAAGGGCCCAAGAGATGTGCAACACATTACCCCAACAATATTTAACCAAAGATTTGATTCATTCTGCAAAAAAAGACTTCGAACTTATTTACTCAAAAATGGGGCATTTTTGAGAAGCGAAAATGGCAGATTTTCAACTTTCCGAAAAAATTCTAATAGGCTGTTCTCTGAAAAGGTGACACAGTCCATAAACAGCCCCAACAGAGTTCTACATAACTACCGGATGTGAGCTCTCCGCTCTTTTCGTGCTTGAGAATTTTCTGCACTAACAGCCGAATTTGAGTCGTCTTTTTTCTCTACTGCGCATGCTGTTGGCCGGAAATGAATGCTGAGGGCTCAATAAATTAAGAACACCTCGTAGTATACTTGGGTAATTCGGTAATTTTTCATCGAATGAATGAATATCGAATAAATTCGAAAATAAGAAATCTCGAATAAACGAATATCGAATAAATTCGGAAAATCAGAAATATCGAATGAATGAATTTCGAATAAATTCGGAAAATCAAAAATATCGAATGAATGAATTTCGAATAAATTCGGAAAATCAAAAATATCGAATGAATGAATATCGAATATATTCGAACATTGGAAGTCAAATTTCGAATAAATATTCGAATGATTTATCGAATAACTAAAGCAGTCACATCTCAAACTTGCCGACATATCTGGCTAAAGCCGATCCAATCATAATCAGCCCCCTAGTATCCCCTATACCAACTCCTAGCTCAAAATTTTCCAAAAATTGCTGAAATCAATAAAATAGATTTCGGTTTCAATCAGCACCCTCACTTACCCCTTTGTACCAACTCCCAACCTCGTAGCTCAAGATTTTCCAAAAGTCGATAAAATCGATAAGGTAAATTTTTATCCATAATCAGCACCCTCACTTACCCCCTTGTACCAACTCCCAACCTCGTAGCTCAAGATTTTCCAAAAGTCGATAAAATCGATAAAGTAAATTTTTATCCATAATCAGCACCCTCACTTACCCCCTTGTACCATTTCCCAACTTCGTAGCTCAAAATTTTTCAAAAATCGATAAAATCGATAAAGTAAATTTTTGAGTAATCTACAAGTGTGGCCGCTATTCTATCATCAGCTTATCTATCTCTTTGCTCAACTTTCATTAGTAGATCCAATTCTTATGACCATTGTGCACATTCGTGACAACAAACCTCGAGATCAAACATCTATTTCGTTTCATTTGGGATTTTCTGAGACCTACAGCCAGAAGTCTATTGCCGGACCAAGTGCACCAGCCTCTTCAAGCGGTCGCGAGCGTCGTGTAAGCGGCTGCACTTCGTGATCCTTGGGCGTTGTGCACCGTACGGGTAAGAACCGCATCTGTACACTTTGATCCTGCGGGTTCGACAGCAGACCTTGTTTGTCAGACTTCCACTAGATTTCAAAGACGTCTAGCAGAGTAAGGATAAAATTGGCTGGAGCTAAAATCTAAAAATGAAAAACATTGCAACTTGATGGAAGCACCTAACGAGCTGTTCGGATTCATAGCGCTAGGTGTGCGATCTTTTGAAGCAATAAGGTGGCCACATATGTACTTAAATTCCACAAATGATACGATACATTGCCTGTTCATCGGAGACTTTCGTCTTGTGTGGTTTAAGCTAGTCGTGGACGAAGGCATGTGGTTTCCTCCGCGAAGCGAGCACGAATGCCCCTATGGCCTCGGGCATACTGCAGGCATTTCAGTGGCGACGTGGTATGGCAATACTCAAATTGTCCAAAACCTATTCTGAAAGTACAGAATGCAGGGCATTTATCTTTTTAGTATGTTGTACACGCTAAACATTTATGGTAAGCTGTTAATACATCTGAAGACATCTCGTAACTGGCAAATCGCGTACGGCGATCTAAACCGTCTAATCCTGCACTACAACTGCGATGTCCTTTACGCAATATACACCATTTCGCAAAAAACTCCAAGGTAACGAATAGGCAGTTTTGCAATAATTTATGCGAGCAAGAGTGCTCATTAGTGTGGGCTTTGCGTACCGCCCGCAAGCATGAGCAATGCAAAGAAAGAAGAACAGCCATTTCAATTTAGTATGAACTCAGAACATGAGCTTGAATTTGATATCTTCTTTGCTGATTTGGTGCCAATAGCAGTGCGAACAATCTCATTGATCGAAAAACATCAATTAAAATCCACATATGATTTTTTACTGTCGCAAGCAGTTGGAATAATGCGAGTCTCCATACAGTTCAAAGGTATGCCGGTTGCAAAAGATGCATTACCGAGTTCTGCGAAAAAAAAACGCGGACGAAGTGAGCTTGATACTCAGCAGTTGGCTCTGCAACAAAGTCGAATAATCTGAATACGGAGTACATTCGAATACGAATTCGAATAAACATTCGAATAAAACATTCGAATAAAATCTATTCGAAACCCCGCTTTTTGATTATTCGAGTTTTCGAATAATATTCGAAACCTCGTTTTTTGATTATTCGAGTTTTCGAATTTTATTCGAAACCCTGTTTTATGATTATTCAGTTTCGAATTTTATTCGAAACCCCGTTTTCTCAATTATTCGAGTTTCGAATATTATTCGAAAATGGAAGAACTCCGAATATCGAATTTCGAATACGAATATATTCGAATGTTTTATTCGAATGATCGAATTTCTATTCGATTCGGACCCAAGTATACCTCGTAGACAGCGTGCCTTTGCGGCAAAGTTTGCAGCTCTCAAAAAAGTTCAATCTATATGAAGTTAAGCAGTCTGAAAGAAATTCCGCAAGTGTCCAGGAACTTTCTTTACAACCTGATTGGAATCTCTCAAAAAAAATTTTTTTTGATGCTTTCGAAACTGGGCATTAAGTCTAATTCAAGTCGATCAAGAAAATAATGCTTGGTGGTAGCCCTGACATTATAAGGTAGGACTGAGAAATCTTGCGGGAGGCCTTGCGGTGTGGAAATAATTTCTGGGGCCGGTATGTAAACAAATCAAGCCCTAGCTCTGAAGTACATTTCAAGTGGAATGGAATTGGGGTGATTTTTTCTTTTAAACTAGGGTTTGATGAGAGCTGGCAAACAATCAATCGTTTTTGTTTCTGGAAATGCGAGAATTTTTGCTGCTTACCGTTTATCTTATATCACCAAAAGGTCGGGCCATACAGCGCGGCGTACGCGGGGTACGCAGTGTACGCTGCGCACGTGGGTATGATTAAGAACTACAGGAGCATTGTCATTGTTGAAATATAGTAAGGGCGCGACTTAAGTCAAGCCGCTACATCGCGCATTCTGGCACACTCCAAAGATAGGCACTGCCTCGCTAAAGAGTGGCAAGCATAAAAAACTTGCTTTGTGCTTTGAAGATAACTTCCAGCTCCTACTTCATCTAGCAAATTCTAATCTCTAGTCTAAAGAATCTGGACGATAAATTTCCTCTTTGAAACATAATGGATTCAACATTTTTTTTCAAGAAACAAAAGGACCCCGAAGACTCGGCCATGTACCGGTTTCAAATAAAATACACAAAAGTCTAGCCCTTTTTGGTGCTGTCACTCTGAGAATTACAACAAAACTCAACAATTAGTGCGTAATCGCTGAGTTAAAATGTAGGACGTGATCCAGAAAAGCTTCTTAAAGAGAATCAGTAAGGTTAGCAAACTTTCGAAGGGCAGTCTGCACAGTTCTCTCAATCCACAAGTAATCCGCTCTTGTCATAGTAAGGTCCAGTTTTAAAGCATTTTATCGAAAACTACGAGTTTTGAGACTCAACAAATTCGAGTCAAATCAAATTGCAGTCCTCGCACATGGGCAGTTGCCGATAATATCAAGCGTACGGGTTTTGAAGGTCAAAAACTCCTTTCTTCTTCTGCATGGGAATTGAATTTCTTCATTGGAGAGGAGAAAGGAGGTTGTTCATCTTGGTGCGCAAAGCGGAATAGAGTGGATCAAGGTTTACTTCTGCAAGGCGTGTTACCAATCTCATGCTTGACCCTGATCATCGCTTCATGAATAAACCTGGTTTTAAGTTTCCTCGTGCGTTTCGCATCTAAGCAAGTGTTCAATTCTCTGTCTCCAATCGTATGCGAGGAACCTACGAAACATTTGTAACGCGCACCTCTTGTTGTCAAAGTTGTTGCTGATGTTGTTGATTCGACTGTTGTAGTCGTTATCGTCGTTGTTGGTACTGAAGGTGTCGTCAGGGTCGACGTCGTAGTGGTTATCGCCGGCTTTGTTGTGGATGCAGTAGTTGTTGTTGACGATGTTGCCGTTGTCGTCGTCGTTGACGTTGTGCTAGGTGGCCTCATCTCAGGTACTGTAACAGAAGGAAATCAGATATGATAGCAATGACCTTTCATCAATTCACGACCTTCTGGTGGCCATTTGGAGACACATGCTTGCTCACATTCCCTTGCAGTATGAAAGCATCCATTCACAACGTTTTCGCAGTTGTTGGTCTTGAAGTTATAACCTATTCTAAATGGGAAACTTCACTAAAGCCTAAGGCCCCGGACAGACTTCACGTGATTTGATCGTCGCGATTCAGTCGCCGAGATTTCCATTCATTTTCATTTCACGTACAAAAATTTCGGGCTGGAAAAGTATCACAACCGAAATGCAAGTTGATCGGCTAGAATGATGTTGTAACAGTTGTCTCGTCGCGATTTAGTCGCGATGATCAAATCGCGTGAAGTCTGTCCGGGGCCTAAGGTGACCTTCAGCTGAACGGGTGTAAAAAAAACAGAATATAAGTACTTACGTTCCAGAACATCTGGTTCGTCCTCCTTTTACTCTTTCAGGGAAACAGTCTGCTGTTCTATCTGAAATTATTCAGTGGAACTTCTGTCATCCAAGTCCCCTCTCACTATGTAGTCCCTTTTCTAGCAAAAAGAACTGACCCCTTGTTGTTGTAGATTCTGTTACTGGTGTTGATGTAGTTTTAACTGTTTTTGTAGTCGTTTCTGCAAATTGTTTCAATGAACATTGTGCCTTCAACTGTATGTTGCATGATGTACTAGTGTTCCTTGTTTTCTACAGTAAAAAGAGTCTGAACAGTGTTATGTTAGGTCTTTCCGGAAATTTGGGTTCAACGCTTCGCAGGACTATGATCAACAAAAGGTTCTGGTATAGTCGTCCTCACGCTTACCAGATATTCAGTGGACGACTTCAAATTTGAACTAGAGCATGCCGGTTGCAGCAGAACGCGGCAACCCTTACTATGATCTCAAACAGATCCCTTTGTGTTCTCCCGACATTTCACTCTATTTTTTGAATGTCGACAGTTTTCTCAATCGGGAGAAGATTTTGTTGCTTTTGAGCGATGTTTCGGCTTCTCGTATTTTTAATTATAAATCCAGATCAAAGGCAGTGTCCAGGCAAAAACCCGATTTCTAGAAAACCCACTTACTGGGAGTTATCCGCAACGCTGAATCCGAAAATCCACATTAGAATGCGCAATAACGGCGAGAAGATGCGTCTTTTAAAGCCCTACACTTTGAAATTCGAGGTCCCGCCAGGCAGAGACGCAGAGTCGCTGCGGGACCCTATGATTTTAACTGTTGCGGCATGCGTACTCTGCCGCATAGCAGGTATTTGGACAGTTCGGAGAACCCCGCCCCAAGGCGCGTAAGTTCCCCCACTTTCTGGTCGTTTTTCTTGCTTTAGGTCGAGCGTTATGACGTCGCACTTGCGCGATGTTGTGTCTGAGGGGAGCCACTCTTGCATGGCACTAAATTCCCAGAACCCCCATCTTGCTCGGACACTGCCTTTAAGCTTGGAGAAACCGCTAAGTTTGTGAGCTGTGCTTGTAAAAACTCTTTTTGGTAAGTAGCGTGCTTTGTCGGGAGGACGACTATAGCATTTGACACACTTTTTCATCCTCTTGAATGGTGATGTTTGCAATGTTGTGCGAACAACGAGCTTCTAACTAAATCATCTAAGTCGTCTAAAACAACTGGATTCTAGCATGCTCAAGCTTCTCTATTTTCTTAATTTTATATTCCAAATCATGGAGAAAAACCTACAGGACGCAAAACTATTTTCTCCTTTCATAGAACGCCTTAATTTTTTGGAAGAATTTTCATAAATTTTAGGGATTTCGAACTCCCAAAGATGGATTTTGGTTCAGCACGAATTCTACCAGGCAAATTGAGTGCTCATAAATCAAATTGTGATTTTTGCGGTAGGTCTAAGGCGTCAATAAGTCATGATAATCTTATTTCAAATACTCCACGTACTGGAAAAATATATCTGTTAAAAAGAGAGAAAAAAACTGCATTGAATGTCTAAGTTCACTGGCTGATGCTCCATGAGGTTTCATTTACCACATAAGAAATTTTGTAGCTATTTATAAGCAATTTATACCTGCCAAAGAGGCACTGCATCATGTTTTGTCCTCTCTATTCACCTTTTACTGAACACTGCTAGATGTGCAAAACAAAAATTCTCAAAAGTTGTGCAAGTTGGACATGGTAAAACAATGGGTTTAAATTTAGGAGGATTATTCAATGATCAAAAAAGAACTAGTTCAGTAACATGTGCTGAAAAGAGGAGGAACAGCCACGTCGAGCAAGGTTTGGAACGCTTTACCCATCTTCACCCCTGTTTCTTACTTCAGAATAAGCGAAAAAATTTTCGGAACGGCCTAATAGTTATTGGATAGCTTTGTAGACATGTTTTGCTATATGATGCTAGAGTGTGGGATTGTAGGAGGAGCTACCTGCTGGCGTTGTGGATGTCGTAGGTAACAGTGTCGTTGAACCAATTTCTGCACTTGTTGACAGAGAAGTTGAGACCAGTGTTGTTGTTTCTGTAATTGTAATTTCTGATATTGTCGATGAGGAGAGGCCAATGTCACAGGATCATGGAATGAGAGATGCAGTTACAGTAGCTGCAGATAAACACAAGAATTTCCTCACTTTCAGTTGTTCGAGGTTTGCATACACGCAAGCAGTCTCTTTTGCTTGCGAAATTGTTTCCATTTCCTTTGCAACCACCGTAGACGAACAAGTGGCAATCTCCAGACTTTGGATCATAAGCGAATCTGAAACACTTAGCCTCAGAAGACGCGATAACGCAGAAGATACTTTGGTGCACTTAAGTCCATACCGAAGAAGTCGTTCCAAACACGGTCCTGTCTCCCTTTCCAAGATACATACGTCAACTACTAAATATGTGATCAACATGTAGAGAAAAAGCGGTAAAGTTCAATTTCCTTCTGGAGAGATGGGACTACATCGGTTTTGACGTTGGTAATAGAATATATCAATACTTATATAATATTCGGCTCAGCCACTTTTTGTACGTTCGCCCAAAAGGGATAGAAGGATTTATGAATTTGAATCAAAAATGGCACATATAGTGTGTAGAATTTTTCAATAAGTCATTTTGTTTGAGATATACCGATCGCCGAAAGCGAGTGGTAGTATATAATGATCCGTGCTCGAGGAGTCGCTGGTGAAGGCTTGGCAGGCAAGGATCATCAAAGCTATTGACAATTTTCGAAATAAATATCTATTTTTTTTCACCGGCTCCACTACCAGGATAGCTTTTTCTATGAACATGGACAATTTGAAGTAATTATACAGCAGTTACTCCGCACAAAAGAGGGTTCTTTCTCCTTTGTCGCTCTTCTTTTTACTATTGAAATATCATCAGAAAATTTCACGCGAGCACAAGAGACCAGGTCTGAGTCTTGCTTCGTTCTCTCTACTAACTGTTGAGGTATTGAATTTTATACCGTTTTCTGCTTTGAATCAAAAGAAGCTATTCAGATTCATCTGACTCTATTACTCTGCACAAAAGACCAGATTTGGGCCTTGCATCGCTTCCTCTTTTCATTACTCAACCTAATCCGTTATTTTTATGCAGCAATACTTACCCTCAGGGGTAGTGGAGGGTGTAACAGTAGATGTCGTGGTTGTTGATCCCGTTGATGTTGTGGGAATAGAAGTTGAGGTACTTGTGGATTCTGTGGAAGTAGTGGTTGGCAATGATGGCACCACCGTTTTCTGATCTGAATCGAGAAAATTCGGTCAGAATGATCTGCCTCTATAAGTCACTCTGTGCGAAAGACCAGGTCTGAGTCTTGCTTCGTTCTCTCTACTAACTGTTGAGGTATTGCGTACGTATTTTTGTACCGTTTTCTCCTTTCAATCAAAGGAAGCTATTCAGATTCATTCGACTCTATTACTCTGCACAAAAGACCAGATTTGAGCTTTGCATCGCTTCCTCTTTTCGTTACTGAACCTAATCCGTTATTTTATGCAGCAATACTTACCCTCAGGGGTAGTGGAGGGTGTAACAGTAGATGTCGTGGTTGTTGACTCCGTTGATGTTGTGGGAGTGGAAGTCGAGGTACTTGTGGATTCTGTGGAAGTAGTGGTTGGCAATGATGGCACCACCGTTTTCTGATCTGAATCGAGATTATTCAGTCAGAATGATCTGCTTCTATAAGTCACTCTGTGCGAAAGACCAGGTCTGAGTCTTGCCTTGTTCTCTCTACTAACTGTTGAGGTATTGAGTACGTATTTTTGTACCGTTTTCTCCTTTGAATCTAAAGAAGCTATTAGCTATTCAGATTCATCTGACTCTATTACTCTGCACAAAAGACCAGATTTGGGCCTTGCATCGCCTCCTCTTTTCATTACTCAACCTAATCCGTTATTTTTATGCAGCAATACTTACCGTCAGGTGTAGTGGAGGGTGTAACAGTAGACGTGGCTGTTGACTCCGTTGATATTGTGGGAGTAGAAGTCGGGGTACTTGAGGATTCTGTGGAAGTAGTGGTTGGCAATGATGGCACCACCGTTTTCTGATCTAAATCGAGAAAATTCAGTCAGAATGATCTGCCTCTATAAGTCACTCTGCGCGAAAGACCAGGTCTGAGTCTTGAGGTATTGAATACGTAGTTTGTACCGTTTTCTGGTATGGATCAAAAGAAGCTATTCAGATTCATTTGACTCTATTACTCTGCACAAAAGACCAGATTTGGGCCTTGCATCGCCTCCTCTTTTCATTACTCAACCTAATCCGTTATTTTTATGCAGCAATACTTACCCTCAGGGGTAGTGGAGGGTGTAACAGTAGATGTCGTGGTTGTTGACTCCGTTGATGTTGTGGGAGTGGAAGTCGAGGTACTTGTGGATTCTGTGGAAGTAGTGGTTGGCAATGATGGCACCACCGTTTTCTGATCTGAATCGAGATTATTCAGTCAGAATGATCTGCTTCTATAAGTCACTCTGTGCGAAAGACCAGGTCTGAGTTTTGCTTCGTTCTCTCTACTAACTGTTGAGGTATTGAGTACGTATTTTTGTACAGTTTTCTCCTTTCAATCAAAGGAAGCTATTAGCTATTCAGATTCATCTGACTCTATTACTCTGCACAAAAGACCAGATTTGGGCCTTGCATCGCTTCCTCTTTTCATTACTCAACCTAATCCGTTATTTTTATGCAGCAATACTTACCGTCAGGTGTAGTGGAGGGTGTAACAGTAGACGTGGCTGTTGACTCCGTTGATGTTGTGGGAGTAGAAGTCGGGGTACTTGTAGATTCTGTGGAAGTAGTGGTTGGCAATGATGGCACCACCGTTTTCTGATCTAAATCGAGAAAATTCAGTCAGAATGATCTGCCTCTATAAGTCACTCTGCGCGAAAGACCAGGTCTGAGTCTTGAGGTATTGAATACGTAATTTGTACCGTTTTCTGGTATGGATCAAAAGAAGCTATTCAGATTCATCTGACTCTATTACTCTGCACAAAAGACCAGTTTTGAGCTTTGCATCGCATCCTCTTTTCGTTACTGAACCTAATCCGTTATTTTATGCAGCAATACTTACCCTCAGGGGTAGTGGAGGGTGTAACAGTAGATGTCGTGGTTGTTGACTCCGTTGATGTTGTGGGAGTAGAAGTCGGGGTACTTGTAGATTCTGTGGAAGTAGTGGTTGGCAATGATGGCACCATAGTTTTCTGATCTAAATCGAGAAAATTCAGTCAGAATGATCTGCCTCTATAAGTCACTCTGCGCGAAAGACCAGGTCTGAGTCTTGAGGTATTGAATACGTAGTTTGTACCGTTTTCTGGTATGGATCAAAAGAAGCTATTCAGATACATCTGACTCTATCAATCTGCACAAAAGACCAGATTTGGGCCTTGCATCGCTTCCTCTTTTCGTTACTGAACCTAATCCGTTATTTTATGCAGCAATACTTACCCTCAGGTGTAGTGGAGGGTGTAACAGTAGACGTGGCTGTTGACTCCGTTGATGCTGTGGGAGTAGAAGTCGAGGTACTTGTGGATTCTGTGGAAGTAGTGGTTGGCAATGATGGCACCACCGTTTTCTGATCTGAATCGAGGGAATTCATTCAGAATGATCTGCTTCCGTAATTCACTTTGCGCGAAAAACCAGGTCTGAGTCTTGCTTCGTTCTCTCTACTAATTGTTGAGGTATTGAATACGTATTTTTATACCGCTTTCTGGTATGAATCAAAAGAAGCTATTCAGATTCATCTGACTCTATTACTCTGCACAAAAGACCAGATTTGGGCCTTGCATCGCTTCCTCTTTTCATTACTCAACCTAATCCGTTATTTTTATGCAGCAATACTTACCGTCAGGTGTAGTGGAGGGTGTAACAGTAGACGTGGCTGTTGACTCCGTTGATGTTGTGGGAGTAGAAGTCGGGGTACTTGTAGATTCTGTGGAAGTAGTGGTTGGCAATGATGGCACCACCGTTTTCTGATCTAAATCGAGAAAATTCAGTCAGAATGATCTGCCTCTATAAGTCACTCTGCGCGAAAGACCAGGTCTGAGTCTTGAGGTATTGAATGCGTAGTTTGTACCGTTTTCTGCTTTGAATCAAAAGAAGCTATTCAGATTCATCTGACTCTATTACTCTGCACAAAAGACCAGATTTGGGCCTTGCATCGCTTCCTCTTTTCATTACTCAACCTAATCCGTTATTTTTATGCAGCAATACTTACCGTCAGGTGTAGTGGAGGGTGTAACAGTAGACGTGGCTGTTGACTCCGTTGATGTTGTGGGAGTAGAAGTCGGGGTACTTGTGAATTCTGTGGAAGTAGTGGTTGGCAATGATGGCACCACCGTTTTCTGATCTAAATCGAGAAAATTCATTCAGAATGATCTGCCTCTATAAGTCACTCTGCGCGAAAGACCAGGTCTGAGTCTTGAGGTATTGAATGCGCAGTTTGTACCGTTTTCTGCTTTGAATCAAAAGAAGCTATTCAGATTCATCTGACTCTATTACTCTGCACAAAAGACCAGATTTGGGCCTTGCATCGCTTCCTCTTTTCATTACTCAACCTAATCCGTTATTTTTATGCAGCAATACTTACCGTCAGGTGTAGTGGAGGGTGTAACAGTAGACGTGGCTGTTGACTCCGTTGATGTTGTGGGAGTAGAAGTCGGGGTACTTGTAGATTCTGTGGAAGTAGTGGTTGGCAATGATGGCACCACCGTTTTCTGATCTGAATCGAGGGAATTCATTCAGAATGATCTGCTTCCGTAATTCACTTTGCGCGAAAAACCAGGTCTGAGTCTTGCTTCGTTCTCTCTACTAATTGTTGAGGTATTGAATACGTATTTTTATACCGCTTTCTGGTATGAATCAAAAGAAGCTATTCAGATTCATCTGACTCTATTACTCTGCACAAAAGACCAGATTTGGGCCTTGCATCGCTTCCTCTTTTCATTACTCAACCTAATCCGTTATTTTTATGCCTCAATACTTACCCTCGGGGGTAGTGGAAAATGTAACAGTAGACGTGGTTGTTGACTTCGTTGATGTCGTGGGAGTAGAAGTCGAGGTACTTGTGGATTCTGTGGAAGTAGTGGTTGGCAATGATGGCACCACCGTTTTCTGATCTGAATCGAGGGAATTCATTCAGAATGATCTGCTTCCGTAATTCACTTTGCGCGAAAAACCAGGTCTGAGTCTTGCTTCGTTCTCTCTACTAATTGTTGAGGTATTGAATACGTATTTTTATACCGCTTTCTGGTATGAATCAAAAGAAGCTATTCAGATTCATCTGACTCTATTACTCTGCACAAAAGACCAGATTTGGGCCTTGCATCGCTTCCTCTTTTCATTACTCAACCTAATCCGTTATTTTTATGCCTCAATACTTACCCTCGGGGGTAGTGGAAAATGTAACAGTAGACGTGGTTGT